TTACAGTGAAACCAAGACACTTGACAGTTTTAGTGACGAAAACTCTGCAAAGAAAGAAATTGAGAACATCGAACAAACAAACAAAAACTGCGAAACTGAAAAAGAACAATGTGATCTTTACTCGGACTTTTTGAACAGTGTTGGTAAAGATCGTTTATTTTCATACAACACTGATATAGATATAGATACTAAAAGAGACGAAACTTTAGTAAGCAATAAAATTTTAAATGTTCATAAAGATGGCGAAGAATCGAACAAAACTTCAGATAACATAAATATTTTTAATGAAGATCTTGATCTAGACAGCGAACACGCTCATTACGAAAACCTTTTTAATACCAGCTCCGATGATAACTATTTTCAAACGTTCAAAGACAACAATCTCCATCTAATTAACGAACTTCATGGAAGCAAGCTTATTAACGAACTTCATGTTAGCAAACTAGACGGCAACGACGATTTGGCAAAGTTGTTACATAGTCCAATGGATTTTCTTAATGATAAATTTTAAAAAGTAAATTTTTTTTCCATTTTTGCTTACACAATAATTAATCAAATTTAAAAACCAAAAAATAAACAAACAAACAAACAAAAAAATGACAAACGTAAAATAAAAAAGTTTTATAAGATCTTTTTTTGTCAGTATATATACAATACTGCATGAAATTTTGCAACCTTGTATGCAAGTTTGTAACCTTGCATGCAATTTTGCAATCACAATTACACTCAATCATAACTACATTCAATTACAATTACAATTATTATATTTTTTTAAAATTTTAAAGAAAAAATTTGCTTATATTTTATATTACAGGTATAAATATAGTTAATATTTATTATATACATAAAAAAAAAAAAAACATCTGATCAGAATATTTTTTAATTTGGTAAAGGGTAACATCTGAGTTTTTTTATCAAAACTGAATTTATTTATATATTTATATATTTATTTGAATTTATTTATTAAACTTACGTCAAACGAGTATTTATTTTTTCATTTCATATCCCAAGTGTAGGACTGTTTCATAATAACATTTCAGATTTAAAAATTAATAATTATTGTTTATCTAAGTTAACTTTATCAATTAACCAACTCCTTATGATGTTTTAGAGTTTTAGATAATTTGGCTGATAGAAGTATGCTGTTACATAAATAAGCCATTAGGCAATATTTTCATTTTCTTTCCATATTTTGTTATATATCGAGTGATTAAATGTTTTAAATTAGTTTTAATATAAACTCTCAGACATCATTGGGTATTTTATGACACATTCAAAACTTTCCCGAATAACTGTACAAATAAATCCGTAGTTGATAAGCTATACAATTTAACGGAACTCACGATCTTTGACAATTTGTATCATCCAACAATAAGATGCTTTTTAAATAATCATAATGCCACTTATCTGCAAACTTGCCAGAAAGTCAGTGAATATTTTTTAAAAAACCCCTTAAAAATTAAACTTGAACATTTTTCATAATAATAATAATTCAATATTAGCAATTCTAGCTTATTAGGAGAACGCAATTGATTCTGGGTACAAATCCTAATGAGATTTTGTACCAATTACTTTTTTGAACTTTGCTTTTACCTAAATGAGAACATTTGTTCAAATTTTTTGTCCTTTTAAACTAAAAGAAGAATTTTGGCGTCCCAAAGTCTTCAAAACAACTTAGGCAAAATAAGAAAATACAATAAAGTGAAGTTCCAGCGTCGATTAGCTAGTTTTATTTTAATAATATAATTAAATGGTTGAATAAAAAATTATGGCAAAGGTTGAATAAAAATAAATGTGTTTATACAGGTAGAACTATACAGAAACCATAAATATGAGATTGTTATTATACTGGTTCAGTACAGTACTGTGCGTTTTTTCTGTAAATTTAAGTTTTTTCTGTATATTGTACTGTGCGTAAGTTTTTTCTGTAAGTACTGTGCCTAAGTTTTTTCTGTAAATTTGATTATAACAGCCATGGATATAAGGCATATTGGGCCATGGATATGAAGGAATAAAAATGTTTTGTACAAATATGAATTCCTCAAAACCTACGACCAAAAAAGTGTGAGAATCTAAAAAAAAGTAATTACAACAGCGGATTAAACCGTAGAAGAACAAACAATGATTCTGCTCATAAATTAATATTCTTGTTTCTTTTTTTTAATATTCTTAAATATTCTTGTTTGTGTCCTGTATTATCGCAAGATACTTGTGTATCTTGCGATAATACAGGACACAAACAAGAATATTCATTGATGAACAAAGTCTTTTCTATTATCTTTATTGTTAGTGACAAAGTGTTAGATGTCGAAGTCATGTCTAGGTATTGTAAAGATTTTACAATACCTTGTACAATCTTTAAAGATTTTAAAACAACTGGACATGGAACTAGGCTTTCATTGCAGGATGCAAAACATTGAATAATTAGAAAGAACCTTTTTAAAATGTGCTCAAAAATTGAAAAAAAAAAATTGAAAAAGTTAATAACTTGTATCACCACTCATATCATAGCCTTGCTTTATGACATAATTATGGTTAAATTTTGTATTTTGGCCAGCATAGTCATTTTTCTAGCAATTTTAGGGGTATCAAATGATTAACATAATTGCAGGATAGATTTATAAAAGTAAAAATTAAAAAATTAAGTATGCTACCTAAAATTTTTTGTATTACTTTTATATTAATAATTTTTTGTAAAAATATTTAAAAGATTGAAATTCAGAGGGGATAGCTTCTTTAAAAGTTTCATTATAAACCTATTGCAACAGTCTTTACAACGTTACGGAATTAAGAAATCAAAGAATTAGTTACCTGGGTGTTTATGTAATAAATAACCCGATAAAAAAAAAAGATTCAAGAGTTTTGGTATTTTAGTTTGATAATGAAAAACAGGATGATGAAGATCTGGCAAAGTAAATAACAAAAAACTGTCATTAAAGTAGTTTTTATTAGGAAGTTGTCAATGAAAAATGTGAAAGTTTTCTAGTAATCTACAGTACCTACTAGTAGTAGATATAAAACATACAATATATTAGTTTTCATTGTTTCTCTCTTTTAAGTTTAAAGAATTTTTTTTGTTGTGTTACAATAGAATAATTTTGCTAATAAAACTAAAAAAAAAATTGAAATAAAAGTTTTACCTTATTATTTTTTGGCTTTAATTTTTTTAATTTAGGAAAAAATATTTGGTAATTTGTTAGCATAAAACATATTTTACTTGGTTTGCTTTGTGTCAATGCTGCAAGAGCAGGTCTAACTATATTTACAATGTGTTTTTGCACCTTTTCTAATGGAGAATAAATATAATTTGAAGATCCGCTCCAGATATGGCAACAGATATGGTATTCCATACAACATATCGCAACAGATATGGTATTTCATACAAGAGTGGATTTGATATTTGTAGAGATAAAGAATAGAATCCGGAGTAAGAAAGTGGCGAGCTCAATAAAGAGATGTAACCATAGCAGTTGCTAATTTTGCAATGGATTCATCAATGAACAATGCCACCTTAGATGTGAGAATGTCTGGGAGATTGTTTATGTAAATTAAAAAGAGTATAGAGTCAATCATAGAACCGTGAGAAAGCTCTGAATTTACAGGAAATAAACAAGACAGTAGCTGGATGCATTTCACATCCGCTCAAGATGAGTATTTTGAAACAATTTGTATTGGTTTATATGTTACCCTTACAAAAAAACCCAGCGAACTTCCAGCGAAAGTTCGCTGGAAATTAAAAGATCACTGGAAATTTACTAAGATCACTGGGTTTTCACTGGATTTCCATGGAAACAAAAGACTTCGCTGGAAGTTCGCTGGAAATCCAACGAAAAACTTCCAGTGATCTTAAAGTTCGCTGGAAGTTTACTGGGTTTCTTACGAAATATTTCGCGGTGATGTAAAAAGCGTTGCTGTTACAACTTCTGCAAGCAGTTAAAACTTGGAAAATTGATAATATAGCTTCTTAAAATAATATTTCAAATTTTTGTATAAAAGTAATCCTTTTTATTTTATTTTTTGCATCTAATAGATGATCTATAGTGTGAGTTTCAATTATTATTAGTTCTACTCAAGTTACAAAACAAAATCATCTGGTATGTTGCTCAAAATGTTTATTTCTCTTAAGTATTGTTTATTATGCATTCGCTTGATGCGAATGCATTTTATTTATTAAATTCAACTTTATTATTTTATAAAAATAATTTTTATAAATGTCTTTATGATTAAGTATTTTATATTAAAAATAATAAATAACAATCTGTTTCTCTCTCTCGCTGAAAGAGAGGGATATATAATATATATCCCTCTCTCTCTCAGTATATATATATATATATATATATATATATATATATATATATATATATATATATATATATATATATATATATATATATATATATATATATATATATATATATATATATATATATATATATATATATATATATATATATATATATATATATATATATATATATATATATATATATATATATATATATATATATATATTATATATATATATATATATATATATATATATATATATATATATATATATATATATATATATGTATATATATATATATATATATATATTATATATATATATATATATATATATATATATATATATATAATTATATATATATATATATATATATATATATATATATATATATATATATATATATATATATATATATATATATATATATATATATATATATATATATATATATATATATATATATATATATATATATATATATATATATATATATATATATATATATGATATGTTAGTGTATTCTACAAATAGAGTGCTCAACGTTCTTAAAGAACAGAGCAATAATAAATTAGTAAAAACACTTATCTAATTTTTATTTTCTTCTACAGCTTGTTTCTCCATCAGTAGGATCATCAGGAAGGAATCTTTCTGATATATATATATATATATATATATATATATATATATATATATATATATATATATATATATATATATATATATTTGTGAAGTTGCTTTAAGTACTAATAAGCAATGTACAAAATGTTTGAAATATTTTACATTATCCTATCTTTATAAGAAATGCAGTTATTTTCATATTTTAAACATAAACAAACAGCATAAAAACATGTGTGATAACAATTGGATACATTTAGCAAGTCTTGAAGAAAATGTGCAAGCAACAATTAGACTTGTTGTTAATACTGATGGAATTCCTGTTTTTAAATTATCAAAGTGGACCTTGTGGCCTTTGCTAGCATCCATTCATAATTTTCCATATTCATTGCAAATTACTAATATTTTGTTTTTTGGTTTCTGGTCCAGTTTTAAAAAACCAAACGTGCAATTATTTTTATCTTGTTTTGTTGATTTTTTACTAACCTATCCACTACTGGTATACTCTTATCTAATAATGTTCGTGTTTTTTTTCATGTATCTATTTTTTTGTGTGATACAATTGCAGGAGCTATGGTTTTTTGTTGTAGGTAGTTTAATGATTATAATGGTTGCCATTGGTGTTCTTCTCAAGGGGTAAAAGTTAAAAAAAGGTAGGAGGTCTTGTATGACTTATCCATTTTCTGATGTTAATGGGAGTTGTAGAAACCATACAGATTTTTTTTGGATTAATGTGATTAAAGGGTTTTTAGATTTTTCTACATTTGTAAGAGTACCTAATTTTAATTGTGAAAATGGAACAGTTGTTAATAATCTGCACTGTATTGAGCTTGGTGTTATGAAAGCTATGTTTTCTTTCTGATTTGATAGTTATTATTCTGGTTATATTTTTTCTATTAGAAGACACTGTACTGTTGTAAATAATCTTTTATCTGCAATCAGTGTGCCAAGCAATATAAGACAGACTCGATGATCATTAAGTTGTATAAAGCATTGGAAAGGTATTGAGTTTTTTACTTTTTTAGTTTTTTATGGTCCTGTTATTTTATGTGATGTTTTGCCTCCTCAGTTTTTTGACCATTTTACTCTTTTATCTAATATTGTTTTTACGTTGAACAATAAGGTATTATCTGAAAGTGTAATTTATGAAGCCACATTATTAGTTAATAGATTTTTTTATGAGTTTTCTGATTTGTATGGTAAAGAAATGATATGTTTTATATTAAAGAGTTATTTTAAAGCAGTTATATATATACAGAGCTTTTTTTAAAGCAGGTATTATATTTTAATGCAGTTTTTATTTAAGTAAACTAAAATCTTTCTCTCTCTCTCTCTCTCTCTATATATATATATATATATATATATATATATATATATATATATATATATATATATATATATATATATATATATATATATATATATATATATATATATATATATATATATATAAATTTTATACAGTATTTATTATATGTTTTTATAAAATTGTTATTGATGTCCTTTAAATATTGTATAAACCATCTTATTTTTTTTAGCTTTAAAGACCCAAACGAAAATACTTTTAAAGTCAATTTTCGCAATTCTGTTTGTTTTGTTATGCTAATTTGTCAGTAGAGAACCAACAGACCACTGACTTCATAATTTTTCCATCTAAAATTATACTAAAATATCCTAATAAATACAATTTGAATTAGATGATATAAGTTATCAGAGAAAGTAAACAAAGTACACTTATTCGGAATAAAAAATGTAACTACTGCCATTTGGTTCTCGACTTTTTTGAAATGGGCTAAAAATCATGCTTAAGCATCATATTGCCTATAAGATATACTTACTGCAATATATTTTTTTTTCACTAATATACAGGTTTAAGTTTTGCTTTATAATGACTATTATGTTTTTTGCAGATTTAAATATCTATATCAGTACAGAAAAGTAGAGCTGTATGATTTTTTGTTTTGTTGATTTAAACAGTTGAAAATTTAAAAAAAAATTAGTTTAAAAATTGTAAAGTTCCTTACAAAAAAAAACCAGAAAACTTCCAGTGAAAGTTTGCTGGGTTTTTAAATTAAAATATATATATATATATATATATATATATATATATATATATATATATATATATATATATATATATATATATATATAATTAAGTTTTTATTATTTTATCTATAATTATTATTTTTATGCAGGATAAAAGTGATAAAATGCTATTGGTTGGAAATTGATAAATTAATAAAAAATGATTGATTCTAATTGCGCGAAAATATGTTGGTATGTTTTTATCTATCTTATACTGTTTTATTTTTGCTTATCATTTCACATTTTGTCTTATTTTGAATATTATGTTTTATATAATTATTAGTTAGTGTTTGTAAAACACTAACTAATTTTGATTGCTTTTAGATTTTGGATACTGCCTCTACCATTAACAAATTAAAAATAAAAGAAGCACTTCATATTAAATGGGAAAATCCTAAATATAAATTTATCTAACTAACTTACTACATTATTATTGTTATTTTAATATTAGGAGGTTTATTTTGTCATAATTTGTAATAAAATTTTTAATTGATTTGTAGCAAGTTTATTCGTCCATTAATTTTTTCTCTGTATTGTCTTCAGTTTTTAAATTTATTTACCAGAATATATATATATATATATATATATATATATATATATATATATATATATATATATATATATATATATATATATATATATATATATATATATATATATATATATATATATATATCGTAGTAGAAAGTCACTTAATAGAAAATTTTTTAAAAGTTTTCGATGTAACAGTGTAAAATGAAAAAAAATTTTTGTTAAGTAATTTTCTACTTATTTATAATTGCTCTGTTCTTTTAAGAACATTGAGCACTCTATTTTGTAGAATACATTTTGAATATTGTTTAAATATATATATATATATATATATATATATATATATATATATATATATATATATATATATATATATATATATATATATATATATATATATATATATATATATATATATATATATATATATATATATATATATATATATATATATATATATATATATATATATATATATATATATATATATATATATATATATATATATATATATATATATATATATATATATATATATATATATATATATATATATATATATGTTCTTTATTTATTGTATGCATTCTTTTTTTTTTTTTCTTTTTTTTTTTAGCTCTAAAGACCCAAACCGAAAAGAATGCCTAAAGTGGTTTTCAAAAGATGAATTGACGAATTTCTTAATTCTTTTTGTTTCGTGATAATTTGTCGTATGAGAACGCTAACGAGAAAAAACTTTTTAAATATAGAAACATGCGTAATATAAAGTTTACTTATGCCTATAAAAAAATATGTTTTACATTAATTAATAAATTAACTTTTTAGTTTCTTGTTAAAAATTGTATTCTGTATTGAAGTTTATTTCTGAGAATTTGTAATTATACCTAAGATAATCTAATCCTACATTGTATTTTAATTTATAAAACTCGATATTTTAAAATAAATATATTACTTTTTTATCGCGCTTAACTTCTCTTATTTCGCGTTTATTGGTTAAAAAATTTTAAAATGTTTATAAACTTTTGAAACTTTTATAGCAAAAATAAAAAATCTTTTTTAAAAAAACTTCCAGCGAATCTATTTTTATACATAAACATGAAAATTCGCTAGAAAAGTTCACTGGAAGTTCGCTGGGTTTTGGAACAAGTTCGCTGGAAATTTCCAGCGAACTTCCAGTGATCTTTAAAGATCACTGGAAAAGTTCGCTGGAAGTTCGCTGGGTTTTGGAACAAGTTCGCTGGAAATTTCCAGTGAACTTTAGAGATCACTGGAAAAGATCACTGGAAGTTCGCTGGGTTTTGGAACATTTTTTCGCTGGAAGTTCGCTGGGTTTTTTTGTAAGGGTACGAGTAGCTAAATGTTACTAATATTACCAATAACCTGACCTGACATAAATAATAACTATATATAAACTATAAGGTTATGCGGCTGAGCGGTTAGCGCGACGACAATCTGAAGCAGAGCTTTGAGCAGCAGTGACGCAGTGGTAGCGCACTTCCCTCAGAAACAAAGGATCCGTGGTTTAAATGCTCATCTGCGGTACTCTGTGATAAGAACGTAAGGACTTCTTGTGGCACCTAAATAAAATAAAAAAATAAAAAAATTACAAGTAGCAGGATAACCTGTCCTGACATTTATTGGTTAAATCCATATTTTTAAAAACCAGCTTCTAAATTGCTGCTTACCTTTTGATCTGACAAATGTAATATTTATAAGTAAAGCGTATTCACGAAATAAATGTGAAAGAGCAAATATATCGTTTTTTTTTTGAGTGGCTATATTAATATAATTTCAATTATGTTTGTATTTTGTTGGCAACATTTAATTATTTTAAAATGTTTTAGTTTCCCAATTTAACTTTAGATAAGTTTTTAAAATGATTAAAGAAAAAAAAGTTAGAAAAAAAATTTTGCACAATTATTTGAAAAATGCAAATAGAAGCTACAATTCAATACCAAAAAATTTACGAATACACCCCTACACTGTTAGTCATGTTATTTTTTATTTCCCAAGCAAAATTGATCAAACGCAAATCTTATAATAGAATTTTTCAAGATAAAAAACTGGTTAATAGATTTATGAATAGCCCAAGCCTCTCACTAAGGGAACGCGCAAAAAGATACTTTCTCATACTTTAGTTAAAACATAGTATAAACATACTTTAGTATAAACATGTTTTTCAAACCACAAAAATTGTTTAACCGTTCTGAAATTACAAAAAAAAAGTGTAAGAACCCGCTGAAGAAAGTTGCATGACAATTAAATTTCTAAAAATTTCTTAATTATTGAAGATGATGAAATTTATATGAAGTACGATTATCAGAAAATTCCTGGTGGTGTCTATTTAAATTGCAAAAATAGAGAAAAAGCAGATAAGAATTTTAAATACACAAAACATGATAAGCATATTTGTAAAAACTATGGATTTTCCATGCGTTTTTAGATTAATTTTTTTAACATTATTATAGAAAGTGGCAACTTGCACTCAGTGAATATCTGAAATTTTTTTATAGTAAACCACTTATGTACCATGTAACTACCATAGCATTTGAAATTTTGAAATCAGTATAATTTATATACCCCCTTGTATAAATGACACACACACATAATATAATACTATTATATATTAAATATGTGTGATTAAGGGAACCATTTAATGCTTTATCCTTCTGACAATTTATGTATTGAGGAAGGAGGGGCGCGGTTACTTTAAATGTTTTTGAAGTTACTCCTCATGCAAAAAAACTTTAACTACTACAAAGTATGTTATGCTATAACTATAAATAATAACTGTAAAATAAATAATCTATTTTTCAAGGAATAACCAATAAACAAAATAAAACTTTAAATAATCAAAATATAAACTATTATCAAAACTTTGATGTTTAAGGTTTCATAAATTCTTGTATAATAACAGCTTGAAAAAAGAAAAAAAAGATTTGTATTCAAGTTTATGTTATCTTTAATCAGAATATAGGCAATCTTTATTCAGTATTGGGCCAACTTATGTGGTTGGCTCAACTGCATATCCAATGCAGTTACGCCAACCAATACAAAACATGATTAATACAAAACAATACAGACGGTAGTTCCAATAAAAAAAATGTCAAATTTATACAATATTTTGAGTCAGTGCCGTGGCAAGTAGGTCGAAGACCCCTCCCCTCCCAAAAAAAACCCTATTAGGGCCCCAATATCTTAAAAAATGTTCTCTAGGCATTGCTACAAAAAAAAAGGTTCTTAATTATCTAATTTAAAGGCCCCTAAATTTGCAGACGGGTTTCCTAAGTTCGCTGGCTAACCCCCCCTCCCCCCTTCAATTGGGATGTGTAGAGTAGCTTAGCCACGGCTCTGCTTTGAGCATAAGTAAATATATAAATTATTTCATCACATATTCAAGCTCACTAGTAGATGAGAACAAAATTTATGTGCTTTAACTTTGTTCTTAGCTGCTGGTAAACTCAATTGTCTTAACACCTCTCCTCCATTATTAATTATCTTTATTAAGAACGTTTTTACTTCCAGAATTAAATTTTTATTTTCTTTTTCTTATTTGGTCGAGATAAAGGTCATGTTTGGTATTATCAAGAATTGTTATCAAGAATTGATAATAGAATCGATAATTAAAAATTACTTGACCATTAAAATAAATTAAAAACACCATCCAAAGTAATTAAATATACACTAAACTTATGTTTCTTTTGTCAATTTTGCTATATATAATACAGAAAATAATATGTAACCTATAAAATATATAAACTCCGTAAACTATCGAGAGAAAAAAAATCATTTCAAAACACAAGATTTATATATATATATATATATATATATATATATATATATATATATACACGCATACATATATTATACCTTTAAAATATTTATACTAGGGTTATGTTTATATTTATAAACTTGTAAATATTCATGACCTGCAAAAATATTTATCAAAAAAAAAAAAAAAAAAAATTCATTAATATATTTGTTCTATATCTATTATTATTTAACCGACAAAGGATTCTAAATCTGAATCACTATCAAAGTTCGTAAAAGCGTTATTAGTGGATAGTAAAGGGGATGCTGAAGAAGAATTGTGGTTCTTGCAAGACCAATACTCAAACAAAGCTTTATAAATGAATACGTACTGCTGATCTTTATCAACCATTCCTCCTCTAAAGTTCAAGAGGAGTTAAAAGAAAAACAGAAAAAAAAATTTCGTGTTTAAAGTTAAAGCTAAATGTATAAAATTTAGAACAAAACTAAATCTTTATATAAAATAACAGAGTTAATCATAAAAACTCATTAAAAAAATTAATCATAAAAACCTTTCCATTCTCATTTGGCTAACAATTTTGAGAACGTCAACTTCTTTTTCTTCCTAATTATAAAAATATTTGCTCATAAAAATCCACAGATAATGTGCATTTTTTACACTATGAATATAACTTTAAAATCACATAAAAAAAACATTTATTACAAAACTCTATTTACATCAATTTGAGACATTCCAAGAAAAAGAGCAATGAAGCAACCAGTTCTACCACGTCCAGCACTGAATACATTAAAAAAATTTATTAGTTTAATAAAAGAGGAGTCATTGGCAATGTAAAATAAAACATTTTTTTAAAAGATTTACACTTTTTTTGGAGATCAAAATCACACCAAATAAAAAAAACGAATTTTTTTTTTAACCTAGGGTCATTTCTTTAAAAAAAAAACGAATTCTTTATAATTCGAAATATATAATAAAAAAAACGAATTCTTTATAATTCGAAGTAGTAAAAGATTCAATAAGATTTTTACTTTTTTATTTCAAATTAAGAATTTTCAGTAAAAATTTTACAATAAAAAAACTCTGGAATAAATATTGAAAGTGGAAAACTTTTCAGAGAAATATTATCGTATAAAAATATAAATAACAAAAAAATAAGTGGTAAATATAATAGATAAGTTTATAGTATAATATGAAGTTTATTTATGAAGGAACTTTCTTATTTAAAGCGAAGTGCTTTTTATACCTTTAATTTGTGTTTGTTTGGAACAGTATCGAAAACCTCAAAAGAATTACAACAAGTTTTAATATTCATAATTTAGATGCACACATATAACGAGATCATGAGTTTGATAGATTCATATAAAATAAAATAAATTATGTTGCCGTGTCATTGCAAAAATATTTTTTCTTAAGTTGCAAAATAAGGTTCCAAATTGGAATCATATTGAGTGTGTTGAAAACGTATAAGAACTTTAAAATATCCCTACTTAAAAAAAAAAAAAAAAAAAAAACTACGTCAAAAAAAGTCAAAAGTGTATTAATTAAAGTGATCTGAATATTGTTATTATCATTATTCATACCTAAAACTAAAAATAACCATTGTAAACTAAGTACTGTTTTAAGATGGGAAAAGGAATTTAATAAACAAATTGGAACACGCATTTGCTAGAGTTGGAATAAGAAACAGTCTCTTCAGATTAAACATAGATGAAGCTGACTTAAGTCTTAGATTTAAAATAGATCAAAGATGAAGCTGACTTAAATCTTAAATCACTTAGATTTAGGAGCTAAAAAAAAAATCTCCGTGGCTTTAAAGAAAACATTGTTTTAATCACTGTGTTGAGTACGCATTAAAAATGCTTTTGAAAAATTTTACGAATTTGGAAATTGTGAAAACTTTTTATTAAAGTTACATTTATATGAACAATCATCAAAATGTTTACAATAAAAGAAACTTGTATCAGAAACTTGGGAAAAACTTGTTCCTAAACCAGTAAAACTGTACGACACATTGGCTGAATCATAAGTGGAATGCAATTAAAACTGCTTTAGATAATTATGGTGCATATATTTCTCATAAAGAGTCTCTTAGCCAAACATATTCTCAGATAGCCAAATAAATTTTCAGCCATCAAAACAGATTCTCAGTTATCAAAATGAACTGAATTGAAGAGATTTCTACAAATTTTGAAAAAATATCTCGTGTAACTAATTTATCTGTTCTTTAGCTGTTTTTGCACTGCTGAGATGCTTAAGTATTGACTTCCAACAAAATGTAAATGATCCAGTAAATGCTGTCTGCAAAGTGCATTTGGATAATTGGATAATAGAAAAACTTATAGTTCTTTTAAGTAGTTTGGAAAACAATGTTTCAACAGAACAAACTATTTTAGCTAAATACAAAAAAATAATGGAAAGTCAAAAATGATGGCAATTTAACAAAACATTACTTTACAAAATTTCAATAAAATACATCAGTGCAACACATTAAAACTGATGGCATAACAATTAGTATCGATCTTTGTTTCAATGATGTTAAAGTATTTTTTTTATTCTGTAATTTAACTTTTTTGTTAGATGTTTCTTTTTGGCCAGTGAACCCTGAGAATACATTTGGTGATAAAGGAATTGTAGAAGTAGTTACATATTTTAATGACTTTCTTAAAAATTAAGGAGGTGGAGATGATACCAAATGAATGGGGTAGGGGTTACACCAATAATTTTTACTGAGTAGATTGTTTTAAAAAGTTTTTCCCAATGTTAAAAAATTTGCTTAATGCAAATTTGAAAAGGTGGCAAAAAATATTTATAACAGATAATTATTGCAGAATGCATAAATGTATTAGATGTATTGGAGATAATCTTATTTTAAGAAAACATACATTTTATTTTAGCATTTGTAAATTAGTCCATTTACGAATGCAAAAATAGAATGTATGTTTTCTTAAAATAGAATGTATGTTTTTCCAAATTCATATAAAACATTTATGAGTTTTGAAATTTTTATACAATTATTGCTTTTTTTGAGTACCAGGTTGACCTACTTTTGAAGAACTTTTTTTACATTTTTCAGAGGTGCTCTAAGACAAGGGTCTTAGAGCACCTCTGAAATTTTTTTTTTAAATCAGTGATATTTTATAGAAAACATTTAGTACCATCAATTATTATTGGGTCCTTACAATAAATGGATTAATTTTCTGGACAAACTAAGGAACTAGGGAGTTTTTTGTTAAAAAAAAAGTCTTGCATTTTCAGGTTATACATCAAGTCAAACAAAGACAGGTTTGCTTGACTTAATGTTTAGAAAAACCTGTCAAGTTTGATAGAAAGACTACTTGCATTAAAAAGATAAACAAAAATTTGTTGATTGAACTTATGGTTGAATAACTAGATTTTTAAATTCACTTCATATGATTTGAACTTTTGTTAGTTTTGTAAATACTTTTGATGTTTGAAAGCAATTAAAAATTTTTTGATTGAATTTGATTGATGGTTGATTATTATATGACTGTTATGCAATGATTAAAAAAATAATAACAAGTAAATGAATTTTAATATGCCTTAATAAAATACCAAAAATTTTACAATGCCTTAATAAAATATCAAAAATTCCAAAATTTCTAATTACTTGACTTCCAAAGAACAGTTTACTTGACTTCAGAAGAACAATTTACTTGAATACAGGAAAAAAATTTACTTGACTACAGGAAAACAATTTACTAAACAAAAATGTATCAGTTATTATCAAAAGCGAAATATTAATTTAGCAATATGCTTTACAGTAGATAGTTCTCTCTTCTATTGTCATGATATAAAGGGACTATTCACAGAATCGCCAATGTATATCAAAAAACCTTGGTGCAATGATTGACAAGGATTGAAAATTCTTTCACCAAGACATTAAAGTCAAAAATATTTGTTACCAAGGATTTTGGAATGAAAGTGTAATGGCTGATCATAAAATTGCATCTATTTTCATAAAATATAAAAACAATAATAATTTAAAAACTAAACTAGAAACTAGTGCTAGAAGAAAAAACAAGATTTGGATTGAGCATTAAAAATACATTCAGAAATTTTTTGACTGTGGTGAGAAAAAATATCATAATTTAAATTATTAGAAAAATTGACTCAAACATAAACTAAGCACTAAGCAATAGAGCTTTTATTTAAACATTAGTCACAACGGTTCCTTATGCAATCTTGACAATGCACACTGAAAACACTAATAGGGACACTGCCCATTCACAACATGGCACTGTTAATACTTTGATATTTTACAACTATTATCAGCTTTCTGAGAATCAAACTCTCTCAGAGCTACCACAGAGTTTGGGAAACCTTACTATCAGCCAACACCAGCATGCAGGACTACCACAGAGCTACCACAGAATTTGGGAAACTATCAGCCAACACCAGCATGCAGGACTACCACAGAGCTACCACAGAGTTTGGGAAACTATCAGCCAACACCAGCATGCAAGACTTAAAAGTACTTAACTATTTAAAACTTTAAGTAAAAACTTTTACTTAACTGTTTATGAACTCTGTCAATTTTAAAGGAAATTGGAAAATAATTTACTATTACTGAAAACACTTGAAGTATTATTAAAGTTTACTTAAAGTTCTGGTAACTAAAAATGATATTTATATTTTTTCCTAAACTTTAAAACAAAACGAAAAGTTATAACCTGCAATGTACAACTAAGGGAGCACCCTGTTGCGTTTGAATATTACGGACTTCTTTTACAAGAGAAACAATTTGATGACATTTCTTAGGTATATTGTGGTCTGGCCATGATGTAAACCAGAAATGAACTACTTTTCTAGTTTCATCGCTACCCTAAGATAAAATTTTAATAAATTATGAGAACTTTTTAAAATAAAAAACAGTTTTTGATTTATTAAAAAACTGACTAGATCATTATTTTTTCTAAAACATTTTACCTTATGGGATATGTACATTGTCATAATCTTGTACCCATGGCGATCAATTTCAGAGTCATATGTAACAGTAATATCACCATAGATCTGCTGTGAAACAGTTTCAGGACATGGCCAATATTGAACACACTTTTCCTGACAAAATAAACTATTTTTATATTCCAAGTCCATTTATCAAATAAATAAAAATAATAATAAGATTAACTATATTTTTTGAAAAAAAAAAAGTAAAAAAAATTCATGAAATTGAATTTAGAATGGTAAGAACTTATTTTAAGAATATGGGAACAATATAGTTATTATCTGAAACTTTGATTTGATATTTATGAGAAACTTTAATTTTGAAATGCTACTGGAGATGAAATATGACTTGCTTTAAATATAAATAGTGTCACTTGGTAAATATTAACCTTATGAATACTTAAAGACAAAAGCTTTAGATTAGATTTAACTATTCTAAAGATGTTCTTATATTTTCATCAGATCTGTAAGATTTAGACTTGTGAAACCTATTTAAGAATCTGAATTTGATCTAAAATCTATTTTAAAAAAACAAAACACGCACACACACATACAAAAAAAAATCAGCCTATACACAACTACAAGAACAAAAAATGCCCATACACAACTACAAGAACACACTTAGATCAGCAATCTGACACCATACTAAAATAGGAAGAACATGGAAGAAGTTTTTTCATTACTTTTTGATTTTTCTCTCTTTTTTTGCAAAAAAAAAACAACAAACAAACAAAAAAACAAATTGATTAAGTTCAGTAAAAAAAGTCGCCAAATGTATATCTATATGTTTTATAGCATGTATGTATTTATGAATGTGTGTATATATGTTTTATGTATGTTGTATATATGTGTATGTATGTATGCATGTATGTATGTATGTATGTATGTATGTATGTATGTATGTATGTATGTATGTATGTATGTATGTATGTATGTATGTATGCATGCATGCATGTATGTATAAATATATATGACTTGAAATATGTTTATAACCAATAAGTAAAAAAAGTTAGGCAACAAAATAAACAATAAACCAAATATTTTCTTTTAATTTTACAAAAATTGCACTAATTATAAATTTTAATATTTTAGCACTAGAGGCCTTTCAAATATCTAGAGCTGTTTTTGTTATCATAACAACAAAATTTAACTTTTTTTAAAAAACAGGAAATGATAATTATTTAATGTTGCTGTTAGCTATTGTAATCTATATTGTAATGTCAATTAAAAGTATCATGTTTTTGGTTATGAAAATGCTTCTCATAAGAAATCAGGTTTTTTTCATTTTTTAGCTCCACAAACACAAAAACCTGGAAAAAAAGGTTCTATAATGGTGTTATGCGCACATTGACAATTGTAAACATGGTTATCAAACCTATCTGTTGATTGCCCAGTTCTACAACTAGAAATGTGCCTGTTTGTGCGAAGTCGTAGGTTATTTGTTTTTCCGGTGTATGTAGCTTTCTTGTTACATGACAAACATTTTAAATAGTATATTACATTCTTACTATTACAAGTAATATGACGTTTTATGTTCCATATAGTACCATTTGATGTCGTAAATGATTTAACTTCTTGAAGGTAGAATTTACATATTTTACAACGATTATCATTACATTTAAATAATCCTACTTCTTTACTGGTTGATTGAATTTTTGAAGAAGTAAGTGTTCTCAGTAGATTGGGTGGTTGTTTAAACGCAATTACTGGTTGGACATGAAAGAGTGAAAGTTAAACTTGTAGTTTAAGTAGTCATGAATATTGGTTTCTTTATAATAAATATCCGTTTTTATTTTTCTGTTGTTTTCAAGAATAGTAGACATGTCTAAGAAATTAATAATATTATAAGTATTACCATCTATTATAAATTCTTTGCCAGTGTCTGTTGTAAAACTGATTGAATTATCTATTTCGGTCAATTTATAAACTTAACGATATCTAAATGTTTTGGCCAAATTAAGAAACCATCATCAATATATCTATAATAAAATTCCTGTATGTAAGTATTAGGTAAAATCTTAGGAAAAAGTCTTGTTTCTTCTAAATATCCAATTGTTAGGCATGCATAATCTGGAGCGAAATTCGTACCTATGGCTGTTCAATAATTTGCCGAAACATTTGAATTTTTATGAAATTAAATGAAGTTTAAAAATCAACATCAAAGTTATTTTATAAAATCATTAGAAAAACATGAATATCTCTACTACAAACATAGTAGATGTACAAACCTTCTTAATATTTATCATGACTGCTTACAACAAGAACCTTTTTTTATTTCTAAAAAGTTTAGAAGTGACAACTTCCATTTTATGTCATATGACGAAAAAAATGCAATAAAATTTTTTTATAAAATCATAATTTTCATAATTTTTTCTAATGTCCAACCAGTAATTGCGTTTAAACAACCACCCAATCTACCAATATTCATGACTACTTAAACTACAACAGCCATCATCCATATCATATAAAAAAGAACATCCCTTATGGCCTTGCTAATAGAATAACTGTTTTCACATCTGATTACAATAAAGAAAAACAACGTTTAGCAGAATTAAAAACATGGCTAAAAGAAAGCGAATATCCTAATAATATTATTGAAAAAGCATTTCATAACGCAAAACTCCAAGGACCAGCTCCCTGAAATCAATCAAAAGAAATTTTTCCTTTAGTTACAACTTTTTTACAGCAATCTGAACTGCCAACCTTTTGTTACTGAAACAAATCTTTTGCTTAATCTATCTTCAAATGAAAGAGTGAAATAAGTTTTTTCTTTCACTCTTTCATGTCCAACCAGTAATTGCGTTTAAACAACCACCCAATCTACTGAGAACACTTACTTCTTCAAAAATTCAATCAACCAGTAAAGAAGTAGGATTATTTAAATGTAATGATAATCGTTGTAAAATATGTAAATTCTACCTTCAAGAAGTTAAATCATTTACGACATCAAATGGTACTATATGGAACATAAAACGTCATATTACTTGTAATAGTAAGAATGTAATATACTATTTAAAATGTTTGTCATGTAACAAGAAAGCTACATACACCGGAAAAACAAATAACCTACAACTTCGCACAAACAGGCACATTTCTAGTTGTAGAACTGGGCAATCAACAGATAGGTTTGATAACCATGTTTACAATTGTCAATGTGCGCATAACACCATTATAGAACCTATTTTCCAGGTTTTTGTGTTTGTGGAGCTAAAAAATGAAAAAAACCTGATTTCTTATGAGAAGCATTTTCATAACCAAAAACATGATACTTTTAATTGACATTACAATATAGATTACAATAGTTGCTAACAGCAACATTAAATAATTATCATTTCCTGTTTTTTTAAAAAAGTTAAATTTTGTTGTTATGATAACAAAAACAGCTCTAGATATTTGAAAGGCCTCTAGTGCTAAAATATTAAAATTTATAATTAGTGCAATTTTTGTAAAATTAAAAGAAAATATTTGGTTTATTGTTTATTTTGTTGGCTAACTTTTTTTACTTAAATATATATGTATATAAAATATATATCAGGGGCTATACTAGACCATATTTGGGCACCACCCAAATTAACATTGAGGACCTTTTTTTTTAATTGATTTTTATAGTAAAAATTGTTTTTTTCACAAAAAACGCCTATATTTGGCAATATTTCTGTTGAATTTTGAGGTAAGGGGGTACTGCCGCCTAAATTTTTTTCCTAGAATAGACCCTGTATATATATATATGTATATATATATATATATATAAAATTTATATATGCATATATGTATGTATATATATATATATATATATATATATATATATATATATATATATATATATATATATATATATATATATATATATATATAAACATATATATATATTTTACTAATGCTTTTATAATATAAGGCAAATTTACATTTTTAATTAAATAAAGTAACAACTTAATGCTAATGATTATTTAATAAACAAACACATTTTATCTATATTATGAAAAAGTATCAAATAAAACTATTCTTATTTACATATCTTATTTATTTATATAATATATCTTATATGTTTATATAATATATCTTATTTATATATATATATATATATATATATATATATATATATATATATATATATATATATATATATATATATATATATATATATATATATATATATATATATATATATATATATATATATACATTTAAACAAGTTTCCAAAAAATGCACACTAATTAAATAATAACAAAATTAATAAACAAATTAATGCTGTCATTTTATACATTGTTTAGTAAATGAAGGTAAAAAAAAAAGTTTTTAACAACTTTTTATACTTAATTAAACAAAATAAAAAAACAATTAAATGATCTAAATTTATGAAAAATACATACTTGTATAAATAAAAAAATTATAATATTCTTTGATAATTTAAAGAAAATGTGTTTATTGTAAAAAGTAATTTGTTACTTTTTAAAAGCATTTTGACTTATATAAAAATAATAGAAAAGATAAAAGTTTCAAAGTTATTTATTTTTAACACTATTTAAAACAATTTTTTTCAGCATATTCTCCATGTTTAAACTTTTGAACTTTACACCAAAAAAATAATTTTAAATATGAAAAGATATTATATAAGGTTATTATTAAATAATATTAAGATCCTATTTTTATTGATTTATAAAAATTGGATGTTAACCTTATTTCTTTCTTTTAATTTTGTCAACATCACAATAATAGAACAGTTATACTGCCATATCATCAGCCAAAAGTCTTCAATAGTAGCCAACAATGGTCCTAAAAAAAGAATTTCTTATAGATACAAATACTCTATAAACAAAAATTAACACATTTTTAAACAAATATTTAAAACACAGTGAATCAATAGTTGACTTTAAAAATAGCACAGCAATTTTTTGAGTCATTGCTTAAACAAGTTAAATTTATGTTAAACTTTTTTTTTTTAAATTAAAAATCTATTAATGGTATGATAAATTAAGCATAATTTTACAAAATTTTTTACTTTTTTATATACAGAAAAGCAAATATAAATGAATCTACAAAAATTATAAATAAAAAATAAAACAAAATAGACTAAAAAAAAAAATAAAAATAAAAAAGTGGACTAATTTTTAAAATTAAAAAAGTACAACTTTTTTGAATTCAGAAAAATTATATATAAGATTTAAATGTTGTACACATTTAAATATCAATCAAGATCTTTCAAAATATTTTAGCTAAAGATTATTTTAACAATTTTTAGTAATTTATTTTAAACTTGTTAAAGAAAATAGTATTTTCTCTATTGTTTAAAACTTATATTAAATTTAAGACTACAGTTTATTATTCAAAATCCAAAACTAAAAATTGTAAATAATTAAACTTAAAAAACAATAGTCTTTTTAGTTTTCTAAAATTAGTTCTCTTTTTATTCAACACTTTTTAAAATTAGTTTTTATCTCTTTTATTTAACACTTCATTGAAAACCGGCTTATAGTTGAAAGTTAGAAAACTTACCTAGGCTTGAAAATTTCCAGAAATTTATAAAAAAAGATAAGTTAGCTTATATTTAATGGGTAAAATTTTGTCTTATTTAGGCAGTTGTTATGGACAATTTTATGGTAAAATATTGTGAAGCAGATCATACAAAATTCAGAAAACCCCCTTTGAAAAACACTTTTTTTGGTATTTTGTTGAGTTTTTTTATTATAACTACAAATAGCAACAATGATCATTTGTTTTCAAAATTTTCTAAAACTGATCTATTCTGTTATTTGCTAAGCATATTGATGTTCATTGCCAAATTTGTCAATATCTATTAAATTGGCCTACAAATTACTGAAAACTGTAAAATTATATATAAAAAGATTTGATATAAATATATGCAGTATTTTACAATTTTTTCTTGATTTAAAGACGTTATTGATTAATAAAAGGTAAAAATGAAGAAAATTTTTTTTTGCTAAATTTGAACTATTTAAAAATAAAGTTAGCAATAAAAATAAAGAACTAATGATTTTTCAATCATAAATTTGACCGCTATGTTTAAATAAGTGCGTTTAAACCGTAGCACAGCAGTTAGCACATTTGCTTTAGTAGCTAGAGATCTGTTGTTCAACACCACCTCTGGGCAAGTTTTACAACATCGATAAGAAGGGAAGCGTAAACTTCCTTTCAAATGCTCTTCTGCGGTGTTCTGTGATAAGACCATAAAGACATCTTGGGGTCCCTAAAATTAAAAATTAAAAAAAAAGTCTCACTTGCCACAACTTTGATAGGACACTTTTGACTTTATAAATCAATATATTAAAAAATGAGAGGGAAGTGGGAGGGGTTGTAATCTGTAAAAAATATCGCTTCTTAAAAAGCAAAACAAAAAAAAAGGGTCTAAAATTCACCCAACTGAATTGTGTCAAATACCAGATTAGAAGATGCCTTGAATTTCTCTTTCATGTAATAGGTAATTGAATAAATGGATCACTGCTTCTTGCTCCAATCGTAACAAACAATTACAATAAGAAAAATATCTTGATTGTGATTTTGCAATAAATGAATGAGAAGTAATTTTATAAGTCTTTTAACACAGAAGAAATTCATTTAATGAAAGTTATATTGTTATTAGTTTAGTTCTACCTGTTGTTTTCCATTATTTGAAATCCACTGACTGTTCATTTTTATTACTGTCATCATTATCATATTCTTCTTTGGATCATCATTTTGTGTCAGATTTTGTTGCAAAAAATTTGGGCAACTTGTATGATGACAAACTGTCAGATATGACAAACATACAAGCTGGCCAAAAAAAACTGTCAGCATACATGCTGGACAACTGTTGCTTTGGTGAATTATGCAAACTTTTTGTTTTCTGATGGAGAAAATTATTTAAATAATTTTGTGGCAAGATGTTTCAAGACACCTACATCTCACTTAACATTAATTTTACATTTTAATGTATTGTTGTTATACCGGCATGGAAAATATTGAACATCTGCCATTATTATTGACCGGTAAGTGATTAGAATTAACAAATGCTTTTGACTTAAATAAATTACTGGTCAAGGTTGACCTGCTATTCATATAAAATTGAAAATTTAAATTTTGAAGATCAAAATAACATAAACACGTTTTTTCTATACTATAAACAAAAAATAGTCCATGTCATTCAAAATATCAAAAAGTATTTTAAAATTTAAATGTGAGAAACTCTAAAGTGGACACTTAGGAAAAAAAAAATTTCAATAACATTTAACACTGTTTAATATCTTTAAAAAGTGTATTTTTTAACATTTAGTTATAAATATAATGTATGTACAAATTTTATAATGCCATTATAAAATTTGTAAAAAATTTTTCAAAAATTGATTTTCAAAATTAGATACTAGAATTTTTTACACAACTTTCACATTTTGATTAATTTTCTCAAAGTTTTTTCAACCACATCTAGAAAAACCTTAATCATGGAATATTTATTAATATCCCAAACATCCTCCAAAAACATAAAACCCACATAAAAGTATATTTACCTTGTGTAGCAATGAACTGATTAGGCTCTCCATTATATCCCTAAATTAAATTCATGTATTTTAAAAACTAAATAGAAAAACAGCTTTACCACTTAATAATATAATTTTTACAGTTAATGATCAATGTTTGTCGCCATTTTTTACTACAAAATTTAGCTACAACTCTGTATAGTAGTTTTTAAACTGTTTACATTTTTAAAACTTACAATGTCTTTACAACGATTAGAACAAGCAAGAGCTAATTAAGCATTTAAACATTTAACCCTACTTTACATTTTGAATCATATTTTATTTGTTATAGCTTTTCTGTTTGGTTTATTAGCTTTTCTGTTTAGTTTACTTTTTTTCTGTTTATATTAAGAGCTTTCAAAAGATTTTTTTAGTTAGAGTTTAATAGTTTCCTTTTTTAAAAAAAGATCTTATTTTGAATTTACAATTATTGATTTTTGATTTGAAAGAATGAGTCAATAAAGATTTTAAGCCTTTATTATTTTGATAATAAATGCTTTTATCATTGTTCAGATGGAGCATTTCAGATGGAGATGATAAGTTTTTCTCATTAGCTATTTGTTATGGTTAGATTTATTTGTAATGCAAATGGAATTAATAAACCTTTGGTTATATTAGTTGTAGATTTTTTTTTCTTCACTTTAGATTTGGTTAGAGTTAAAATTAAGTATGAATCTATTATGAATATAGCTATTACTTTTAGCACAGTCTCACAGTTTAGTAAAATATTGTAATAGTATTATTTCTGATTATCTTACTTTTTAAAAACAAACTCTTGCTTTTTACCTTCTTTTTTTTAATTCTAATTTTAGATGAGTTTATCATACAAGTGAAATATAAAATTTTAAAATTAGAAGTTTTTTAAATAATTGTATTTGAAGGTATTATTATATTCTTTTAAACGTTATAATCACGTTACTAAAGATTAAAAAAAAAATTTTTATCTTTAGTAACGTGATGCAGGGTTACATTGACAGGTGAGTAAAAGTATGCTATAGTATTGTTTTACATGTATTTTTATGGTGTTACTTCTAAGCCTTTAATTTTTAAATATTTTTTGTTTAAAACACAACAGGTTTAGAAAAACAATTACATTTATTTGTTCATGATAGCTTTTTCTCTTATAATTAGTAACAAAAGTACCTAATTGCAGGGTTAGTCATTTTCTTTTGTGCATTCTATCTCAAAATTTAAAGAATTTATAAAATGATTGATGTTTTTGTTGGAGTCATCCAATTTTTTAACAGGTTAGATAATATTGACAACAATTTTACCACAGTACAATGCACTGTGGTACAAAAAAAAAAATCAATTGCACACACAGTTTCATGCGCTGAAAACATTTTTGATATATCAAAAACTGTTGTAGATTTGGATTTTGCAAACAACATTGAGCTACTTTGTTTATCTGCCCATACAAGTAGTATTTTACAGCCTTTTGATTAGATCTTTTCAAGACAGTCAAAACATCTTGGATAAATAGTATGAAATATTTTTACAATACAACACGATACATAAATAAAGTTAAAGCAACTTTTCGACAATTGCTAAAATTTGTTACAGATAGTGGGGCATTGGTTGTTGAGTTGCATTTAGGTTCGTTTATATTATGTTTTTGAAAACATATTTTTTAACTACTACATAAAAAGGAAAGATATATTGCTAGGCAATTTAAAATAAGTTTCCAATCCAATCAATATATTCAGATGATCAATATAAGTCAAGGTTTAATAGGTTTAATTTATGTCTTAAAAAACTGTGCTTCTCTCACGGGCAAAAAATGGTTGGATATTCAAGAACAAGAGATTTAACAATTTTGATTTCCAAAGTTGATAAACATCCAATACAAGGTATGGTATTTGAAAAATTTTACTCAAATAATGTCATATTCTCTAACATTCTTCTCTATATTCTCTAACGTTCTTCTCTATATTCTCTAACGTTCTTCTCTATATTCTCTAACGTTCTTCTCTATATTCTCTAACGTTCTTCTCTATATTCTCTAACGTTCTTCTCTATATTCTCTAACATTCTACTCTATATTCTCTAACGTTCTTCTCTATATTCTTTAACGTTCTTCTTTATATTCTCTAACGTTCTTCTCTATATTCTCTAATGTTCTTCTCTATATTGTCTAACGTTTCTAATTTAAGATTAGTGCAGTGTGATGTTACTATTGTAGAGTTAAGTTATGATACTAGTCTTTTTTATTTGCAACTATTTGGCAATAATATGTGTTATAAACAATTTACTTTACATAAATAGATTTCTTTTTTTTAGGTTTAGCATCTTATGGTGTCTGTTGTTATAATTGATTTCAAAAATATCATAACTGATGTTATGAAGTTGTTTATGCTAAGATAATACTAAAAACAAGCATCACTAAACAGATTATATAAGTTTTTATTGTATTAAACTATAAAGTTCAGATAATAAATGAAATTTCTTTATTTTATTTTTTATATATATTTATTTTTATATTTTATATATATATTTATTTTTATATATATTTATTATATCATTTTATTTGTTATAAACTGTATGCCCTAACCTATAAATGTTAAATCTAAATAAACCAATATTCAAAAGAAAGTTTAATAAGAATGTATGAAAGTATACTGCTCAACAAAACTGTAAGGAGACTGAATATACTATTCAATGAAACTGTAAAGAAACTAAGGATACTGTTCAATCAAACTGTAAGGAGACTGAGGATACTGTTCAATAAAACTGAAAGGAGACTAAGGATACTGTTCAATGAAACTGAAAGGAGACTGAGGATATCGTTCAATGAAACTGAAAAGAGATTGAGGATACTGTTCAATGAAACTGAAAGGAGACTGAGAATACTGTTCAATGAAACTGCTAGGAAACTGAAGATACTGTGAATATCTTCAGCCTACTTTGAGACTGAAGATAATGTTATATATTAAAAAGGCTTAACTGTTTATTGCTTTAGAATTATAATTTAAATTAAATTTTACCTAATTGATTTTTTTTACTTTTATCTAGTTGCTGAATTAAATTTCTTACTATTTTATTTGTTATAAATTGTATGCCCTAACCTATAAATGTTAAATCTAAATAAACCAATATTCAAAAGAAAGTTTAATAGGAATGTATGAAGAATAAAGGTACTGTTCAATGAAACTGAAAGGAGACTGAGTATACTGCTCAACGAAACTGTAAGGAGACTGAATATACTATTCAATGAAACTGTAAAGAGACTAAGGATACTGTTCAATGAAACTGTAAGGAGACTGAGGATATTGTTCAATGAAACTGCTAGGAAACTGAAGATACTGTGAATATCTTCAGCCTACTTTGAGACTGAAGATAATGTTATATATTAAAAAGGCTTAACTGTTTATTGCTTTAGAATTATAATTCAAATTAAATTTTACCTAATTGATTTTTTTTACTTTTATCTAGTTGCTGAATTAAATTTTTTCTTCTCTCTTTAAAACAACAGATATGTGCTAATCCTGATGCAATAACATTTAAACAACTTTTATAAACTTTAATTGGTTCAGGAGAAAGAATAACTTCTGAGTTATTCTTTCATTTTGAGTTTAGTTTTGGCCTTTTTTTTTTCTATATTTGATCCACAGGATAAACTACTCCTAGCTATAAGGCATATACCACATTGGTAAAACTGTTGGTTTCTGGTAAAAACAGTTTTTTTGATCTTAGAGAAATCAAATAGTTTGCAGAAAATTGTGTTGGATTTTTTTTTTCTATTTTTGCTAAATTAGCTTGACATAACCTGTAAATTCCATTTAGAAAACTCATTTAAATTTATATAACCAATGAAATATTTTTTGATTCTTGTTAAAACTACTGTCTAACTGTCTAAATATTTAAATTTTTTCCTTTATCAAAACAAATTAAACAAGTTTTACTTCTACTTTAACTGTGACTTAGCTTTGAATATGACATTTCAAATGTGAAGAACTAATGTTTTAATTTTCAAAGCATTTCTAATGATATTACAAACACAACGCATAACAATATATAAAATATATATATTGCAAATAGTTAAAGTAAAATAAATGGTTTTTAAGTTTCTTATGTAAAATATCACTAAAATCCTGAACAAAAAGACTAGAATCAAAAATGTTATCAAAAACTATATAAAAAAAAAACATTTTTTTCCCCCCTAATGATACAGGAATGATTGGAATTACCCTACTTTGACCCCAAGTACCCTTACCTAGTGTAACACTCCATTTTTTCAATTTGTACAAGTTAGGGTGGTTTCAAAAATGGAAACAGCTTCTAGTTAATTTTTTTTTCGTATGAAATATTTCCACCAGGGTGTATATGCTAACTATTTTAAATTATATTTTTCACAAATTTTACAGTTAATGTTTCCAAAGAAATCAGCTAAAAAGCAAAAACAGAAATGATCTTGAACAGAAATTCTGATAAAAAAAAGCAATCAGGTGCAAACAAACAAAAAATTAATAACCCATTCCCTAAAATTTTATTGTACATACTCTTGTGTTTAAAACTGCAGTACTTTTATCAATGAAAAAAAAAAAGATTTAATTAGTCAAACCTTTTAGTCCCCCTCCACCTTGGTAAGACAACAATCCATTCATTATTTTATATACATTAAATTAAATATATATATATATATATATATATATATATATATATATATATATATATATATATATATATATATATATATATATATATATATATATACATATATATATATATATATATATATATATATATATATATATATATATATATATATATATATATGTATATATATTGTGGGATGATACAAAAAACAACTACAACAACAACTGAAAAAACAAGTGGTTAGCAGGCTGTAATTTATCTTTAAAAAAGTTAGTGATCAAAACAGAAAATTATGAAGCTAAAACATACTAAAAATTAAAGAATATTTTATGAAAACCTTTGTGTAAAATTAAATTGATTTTATAGTGAGTTACGAGAATTCAATTTACAAATTTCAAATATTTTTACTTTAAATAAATTTAAAGAATTTAATGTTGAAAAAAAAATGCTAGAAGATAAAAGTATAGATAATAACAAATAATAATTACAATCATTTTAAATACTAAAAAAATCAATCTAACCTTTATAAAGTTAGCATTTATATAAACTGAAGAATTGTCAGATGATTTCAAACGCACCAATGAGCGAGAATCTGAAATATGCTCACATGCTTAGTATAGTACATATAAAAAACATATTTAAATTAAGATTAATCAGAATGGCTTCCTGATGTTCAAAAATTGATATAATAGTTTTTTTACAATTAATTACTATTCTGCATAAATACTGTTCTGTAAAAATACTGCACTATAAGAATACTGTTCTGTGGGAATAATAAAGTAATAAATTGTAAAAAAAAAATCTTTAAATACTTTATAAATCTACTAACTAAGGATTAGAAAATATTTATGGATTGGCCTTTAAGCTTTTGGTAAGGACTTAATTTTTACAAACTATTCAAAAAATTTAGCAAAACCTAAAAAAGTTACCACAAATTTAGTATTTTTAAAAAAAGTTTTGAATACACAATCATTTCAATTCCAACTAAATTTTAAATTTGATTTTAAAAACATTATACCATTAAAAAGTTATGCAATAATACAAAACCTTAATTGTAAAAACAAAGAAATACTTGAGGGTTTCTAACAATGTTTATGGAAAAATAAAATTTTATAAATTTTAATTTTTTTAAATTAAAATTTATAAATAAACAATTCACAAAACTATGAATTTGATTAGAAATTTGCAAATTAACCTGATTTGAGTGAGTGTTAATTACTTTTTTGTAAAGTTTTAAATATTGTCAAAACAGAATAAACAAATGTATTCAAATTTCTAAAATTTTATTGAAAATACTGAAATGGTTATAACTTTCTTGGACCTTGCTAAATATTTTCAAAAACATTTAGCAAGGTCCAAGTAAAATTTAGATTCTATTAATAATTCTTTGCTTATATGCTTTGTTTTGTCAATCTGAACTGTATTATTTTTACTATCCCTTGGCAACACAGAGCAAATTACATATAAATTATATATAATCTAAAAGAAACATTATAAAATCTTGCTTATTGCAATATCTCAAAAAAAAATCCCAAAAATCTATCATTTCTGTCCTAGAGCCCTAAAAATTCAGTAGAAATGCTAATTCATTTATATTTTAAGAAAAATATACAATATAGTGAAGTCATATGATGATATCATACTTGTACAGGGATAAGCGCAAGTGCTTCAGTACACTGAAGTGCTTGCTTATCTCTGTATAAGCAATACAAACCCATCTTTGTGGGATTTGAGCAGTCATTATCACCATATGAAGGACATCTAATAATGCAAAAAAAAAACAAAAAAAAAACTTTCTACTGCATAAAAAATGCTGACAGGACATCATAAATGGAGAAAACAATTATTGTGCAGGCAAAAAATTTGTGTAAAACAAAACAATGCAAAATCAATGCAAAATCAATTTAAAAATGATGTTAAAAATTTATTTTTTTCAGTTTTTAGTTTTCAGTATATATTATTATAACTACTACAGCTATTATTATTAGTAGAGATGTACCAAGTGCTTGACTCAAACTGGGAAATTTCCCTAGGCACCTGTAATCAGCCATTTTGTTGCAGTACTCAGCAGCAGTACATTAATTGAGATTTTTGGTATACTTTAACTATTTGTTTCAGCGATTAAATTAGCATGCAACACAACTCAAAATGAAGTTTTAATTAGAAGACATGCCTCACTTTCAGAATATGATTGATATGGAAACTAAAACCATAACAATAAATGAAATAATTAAAGAATATGTAAGAGACTAAAAAACAATATATATATATCATACTATATAAAAATCATACATGTTACAACTTAAATAGAATTTGGTTTTTGTAATTTTCATTGCAAATCTTAAAATTGTTTGGAAAAAATTTTAAAAGTATAAGTTACATATTCTTCCGATCTTATGTTGTTGTTAAACCATTCACCAGTACTATGTGCAAAATTTAAATCTATTTAATAAAATAATGTGGTAGATGTAAATAAACTCAATTAAAAATGAAATAAAGTATACAAATGTTGACTTTTTTTGTTAATTTTTATATATTTTTCATATTTATTTTGATTATCAAGCAATGATACTACTCTACTTCCACAACTCATCAATTTTTATGCATAAAATCTAAAAGCAACTTATAAAAAAAAAATTTAAAAAATATTTTATGCTTGTTGTGGGAGTTAAACCATGAGCTTATAGATTTCCAGTTCGACACCCTATCCAAGTGCACTAAATTTGTTAATGAATTGGTCAAAATATAAATAAAACAAAATAAAATAATGAAAATGCACATATATATATATATATATATATATATATATATATATATATATATATATATATATATATATATATATATATATATATATATATATATATATATATATTAGGGTGGTTTAAATTTAGGTCAAAAATTTTTTCCGACTTGAGTGGAAGTTTATAAGGTGCACAGACCCTTGTTTTACATATAGCAAGCTTGGTCGGGAAGCGGGAATGATCGCTCTCGAATACTGACCACGGAAATTATATTTAGTTGCGTAAAACTGGCCAGGTTTTTTAGTCGTTTTGATAAGGGTAGGTACAATCGGCAGAGCAGAGCAGATTGGCAGAACAGATCATTGTAATGTTGATAGCGGCAGAGCAGATTATCCAATCAGCCGTTTTCTAATGTGTGATCTGCTAAATATTATTTGACAGATCACACATTATTCAAATATTATTTGGCAGATCACGCATTATCAAAATATAATTTTGCAGATCACAAAATAGAAAACGGCTGATTATCTGTCTGTGATAATCTGCTCTGCCGTTATTATTATTACAATGATCTGCTCTGCCAATCTGCTCTGCCGGTTGCATTATGATCTGCCGAAATATTTGGCAGATCACACATTAGAATACGGCAGATCACTTTTTTTTGGAAAAGTATTGCAACAACAAAAAAAGTTTATGTTTGAAAAGTCAACTCATAGTTCTTTCTATTCAAAGTGCATCTTTTTTCATAAAAATATTTGGCAATCACATTATAAAAATTCTATTATATGATCTGCCGAATTATTTGGCAGATCACACATAAGGAAACGGCTGATTGAATAATCTGCTCTGCCGTTATTAACATTTCAATGATCTGCTCTGCTAATCTGCTCTGCTCTGCCGATTGTACCTACCCTTTTGATAACAATCAAGTTAATGTACGAAACAAAAAATTTTTGTAATATGGACATACATGGAAACATAAAAAACTTGAATGTTCTTAAAACATCTTTGTGCGAAAGAATCAAAAGAATATTTGCGAACACTAAAAACCCGCCAAATTAACGAACAAACTAATTCTATTGGTTCAAAAAATACGCTGATCAAGCGAAATAAAGAGTATTCTGTTAAAATGTTTTAGAAATTGTATTATTCACGATTTGTTTCGTTTTCAGATTTCTAGCATAAATCGTTTTAAGAATATATATTAATTGTTTACAATTGTTACAAAAATGAATGTTTTAAATATATATTGATTAAATTGTTAAAATTTTAAAAGTTTATTATAAATCATAGATTTTATTAGTATATTCTTATTTTTTATTTTAAAAGAGATTGTATTCTTTATGTAAATGTAATTTTGTGTATTTGTTTTTATCGTAATGTACCTTTTAAAGCAATTTTTATGATTTAAACAAAAACTTACAAAAATAATTGCGTTGATGAACAAGCATCGCGCCTGAGGTCACGACAGAACACAAATATATATAGCAAATAATTAGATATAAAAAAAAGTTTCTAGATATTGGTTTACTAACTCTAATTATTTTCGCTTAAGTTTCCATTCTTAAAACTCTTTATACTTTTTTCTGCTTTAAATACTAATTAAAATTAAAAAGCCCACTCACTAAACATCATCAGCGATATTGTGAAGCAGTTTCGCTTCCTGGTCATTAAGTATTTTTAACCTTTTTAGTTGATTTCGATCTTGGTAATTTAATTCCTATAGTAATTCAATGATTTAATTATTTCATTTGTTTATCTTACTAAGAAGAATCACTTCAAATATGTTAAACTTTTCAAACTACGCAAAACATAAAATAGGTATTAAAAAAATTAACTTTTTTATTTATAAAATAAATTAAGCTTAAGTAAAACTAAAACTTGCAAACTTAGATAAATAAAGAATATTTTTTTCCCTTTTAAACAATCGTAAGTTGTTTCTTTATATAGAAAACATCGCTTAATTTTATAAAAAAATTATAAAAGAGCAATGTTTCGAAAATATTTGCTATAAATGTAATTTATTTAGCTTTAAGTTTTTTCGCGTTTAAAGATATTTATTTGCCTATTTTTATTTTTTTTTGTAATTGTCTCTCATCGGTCCAATTAATCTTCGTCGATTTTTTTTTTTTTTTTGCTTTTTAAAATGTTCTCAAAACGTCTAAAAAATCTGGCCAGCTTTTCGCAACTAAATATTATTTACGTGGTCAGCAATTAAGAGTGATCGCTCCCGCTTCCCGACCAAGCCTGATATAGGATTTTTTTTTTCAAGTTTAAGTGTGGCACACACTTTTTTTTTTACCCTTTGTTCACATTATTTGACCTGCATGTGCCACCCTTAAACATTATTAAATTTAAATTATTTTTTTTTACATATTCTTGCAAGAACCTATATATAAAAATAAAAAGGCACTCTATTTGCATTTATTTTTTCAACACTGAAAAACTTATAGAAAAGTCGCTGACAAAAAAACGATTTTCTTTATTTCAGTGATTGTGGTAGCTTTCGTTGCTGCTTGTGATAAATAACATGTAGACAAGGAAAAAACTTCAAAACTACGTATACCTATACTTAAATCAAATTGTGATGCTTTGAAAAAATTCCAGTGATTTGAGCCTGAGAGAAAAAAACGGTACGTCACGCCCTGGGATAAAAAATAGTTGGCAAATGCGACTATTTTTAGATTATTGTAATTCTTTTTTTTTTAGTAAATAATTTCTTTATTAGAAGTTATAGTTCCATGATAAAAAGGTTTGTAATTATTTTTTGATAGCTTCTGTATTCATTTTGCCTTAAACTCTAATCTGAATATTTTTTTCAACAATTGCTTTTATTAAGTTGCATTAA